TTTTTGAAAACCTTTTGCACACATTAGGTTCGCGGGATATTTATGTGCACACTAAGCACGTCTATAAATTTGTGGAATCACAAAGCGTACGAGTTTTGAGCGCGAGGAGGGTTAAGTGTAGAAAATATGTGTTAATTTTTAAGGAATCTACTCTACAAGTCCCCATCTATATTTTCGTCCTGCTCCGGAAGAGGATTTGTCGTTCCTAAGTAAATAGAAAAATATACGCATCGTTGTCAATCAAGTTATCAATATGTGAATTTAATATAAAGGACTCACCTTTTTGTTTTCACAATAACGCATTCATCTTTTGCAAGATAATGCACGGGGGACAGGGGAAGGGGACGACGGAAGGGCTTCTGCAAGAGCAGCGCCTGGTGCCATAACCAGGGGAACAGCCGCATATCCTAATTCACCTGCATGTTTTCTAGATGTCCCCAGGGTCAGTCCATTCTTTATTAGTGCTTCTAGAGTAAGAGGGATGAGAAATAAGAACTATCCTTCGGTGGCAAAGCGTACACTGAAAATGCTAGAGTCAGATATCTTACTTTCAGGAGAGCGAGATGGTGACACAAAAAATCTTAGAGAGCGAGGTACCTGACATTTGAGTCATAATTTACAGGTCCTCACCCTATGAGAGTAAGGTTCCTCACCGCAATTAGGCGAGGTCAGGGAAATCTTACTCCTTCAGAGTGAAAATTCGGTGCATATGACTCAAGTAGGGTAAGTTTAATTGTCATCGCTCTGATTGAGCGAGGGAAAATAGTCTCTCTCATTTCGAGAAGGCACCTCACTCAAAGGTTTTCAGTGTAGCACTAAAACTGCATACGCGCCGTGCATCGTACCAAGCCGGAAATATCTGGGTCAAATCACTCGACAAGATCTGGGAAAATAATCCTTTGCCTAATGCTTGAGGATGGAAATCACAACAAAGCCACAACAATGCCAGTGGGTGTCCCAGTGAGAAATTTATCCAACGACATCGTTTCGACATCGTTTTCCATGTCGTTTCGACTTAAAAGTGGTCATGAAATCGACGGCTTTTCGACAGTTAAACGTCGAAACGGCATCGAAACGACATCAACTGTCGAAAAGCCGTCGATTTAAGTCGAACTTTTAAGTCGAAACGACGTAAAAAACGATGTCGAAACGATGTCGTCAGAAAAAATTTCTCACTGGGGTCGCACTGGACTGACCGTTAGGACATCTGGAAACCCTGTAGGGAACTAAGTGCATGCCCTTGGTAATGGCACCAGGCGCTACTCTTGGAGAAGGGCTGGAGGGCTGGCGTCCCCTGCCCCTGTGCATATGTGCATTATCCTCCAAAAGATACAGGGGTAATTGTGAAAACAAAGTGTAAGTCGTTTATATTAAATTCGTATATTGATTACTTGATTACCTACGATGCGTATATTTTTCTGTTGACTTAGGAACGACAAATCCTCTTCCGGAGAGGACGAAAATATAGTTGGGGACTTGTAGAGTAGATTCCTAGTTAGAAGTATTGTCCCCACTTCATTCACTATTTTCCTGTAACACTGTTTAATTGTTTTGGGGTCTGATGAGGTGAGCACACTTTATATTTTACAAGTGTACATGTCTTGATAGTGATCCCGCAACCTGTACAGTGCCAAGCATGTTTTTAAAACCGCGCTGCGACCAAATTGCACAAGTATCAAAAATGATACACTGTGACTGACACTTCCGTACAGTTCCTCTAGTGTTCTGGATGCTCTTGACTAGCCCAATATGATTCCCTCTAGCCTCACCGCGTATCAGTAATGCATGAGAATATCATTAGAAAAATGTCAAAAAACGACGAAAAAGTGGGCGTCTACGTCACGGAGTATCATTTTTGATACACGTAACTTTGCAAACGTGTCACAATGCGAGTTTTTGAGATATCCTCGACCTGTCTTTGGCTGCTTACTTTAGACCTTGCCAACAAAACATGGCCACTACCATGAAAATCCGACCCCCCTACACTGATATATAAAGTGTGCAACTGACACACACTTTAAGGTGTTTAACACCGTGTCGCACACTTCTATGTGTGCAACATGAGTTTTGAATAGTTGGAAGTGTTCAACAGGTGTGTTGCACACTTTTTAGTGTTCAACTTGAGCGTTAGCTATAGTGCTCGTCGGTCAGGTTGAACATTTAAAAGTGTGCAACACACCTGTTGAACACTTCCAACTATTCAAAACTCGTGTTGCACACATAGAAGTGTGCGACACGGTGTTAAACACCTTAAAGTGTGTGTCAGTTGCACACTTTATATATCAGTGTACCTGCAGCTGCAGGCGCTGCAGTTAGGCCCTGCATGGACCCCCTCGCAGGCCTGTTTTTGACGTGCCACAGCAATCCACCTAAAGCACTCATGGGGTCGTGAGTGGTATGGATTATGGATAGAGTCGTCTGGACCTCCTCAAAAGAATCCATGACAAACGCGATGTAGCTCATAGGTGGAGGGCTCCAGGCCGAGTTTTAGGAGGTGCACCAAATTTGATACTCTGTGACGTAAAGGGTTAACACATATTTTCTACACTTAAGCCTCCTCACGCTTCCACAAATTTATAGACGTGCTTAGTATGCATATAAATATCCGCGCACCTAATAAGTGCGAAAAGATTTCAAAAAGGAAAAAAAAAAGGAAATCAGTGGCCCGATGTGTACGTCCTGATCAATCTTAACAGGTCTTACGTTGGGTCAATTCGACTCAAAGTCGATTTATCGTTCATTTGACCTAACATTCGGCATCAGAGATGTTGTAATATGCGGAAACGACACCCATATCGAGCCATTGCGGATAATATGTTCCTTTCGGCATTTAGGCCCAAATTATCCAAAATGGCGGCGTCTGGGGCCTAAGTGAGAGGTTGTAAAGGGTCGAGAGTGTGTTTTTCCGTTTTCCGGCGTCAAGTTCACCCGGAAAAGTGTCCAAGATGACTTTCCTCCGACAATTTTGAAATTTCGACCATTTTGGTTCAAATTTTGAACAAATGCGTTAAAATCTCGGCTCCTATGGGTCGAAAACTTGTGTGCTGCGGGCCAAATCAAAGAGTAGGGTCTAAGGAACTCATACAAAAAAAATCCCGCTTTTTATATGTTTTGCAGTTTTTTTTCGGCTACCGCTAATACTAACACGAATTGGCTGTAGTTGTAGAATGTGGTAGTACTAGTAGAAGTGAAGGCAGACTTGGTAGGAATAGGAAGTTAACATGGCGAAAACGGGAAGGCGGTTGTTGGGGTTTACGCAAGGGTATGGGGACGAGGGTGGTAGTGGGGGAAGAGGTGGGGGGGGGGGTCAGGGGTACGGGGGCGTATCTCAGTTCGTACAATTATGGTCAATTACAGTGCGCGGGGGACCAAGGTTGGTCGGTGCACCCCCCCCCCCCCCTCTCCGACCGCCGATAGTCGCGGGGTTACGCCCCAACTCAGTCACACCGCCGCGCCGAGAGGTGTGTGGTGGCGGTGAGGGGGCGCCACGCTACTCCACCCCCTCTGTAATTATCATACATTTGCTCTGGGCCCGACGCGCGCGCCGACCCCCCGTGGCGTCCGGCAGCAGCGCCGCCACCTGCCCACGTCACGTCGTCGTGGAGCTTGCCGGACTAGAGTGACCACATGGTGGCCACAAGATGCAAAAGGCGGCCGCGGCGGCCATTTCCGGGACCAGCCGCCTGCCGCGCGCGAGGTGTGGCTTGACGAGTTGACGGAAGGGAGCTACGCCCTCTGTACCGCCCCGCCCCGCCCCGCCACGCCCCGCGCCGCACTATTGTCTCGCGACGCCGGCCGCGACGCCCGCCCGACACGGAGTCACGAGCAGCGCTTTTTGCATTCAGACACGTGTTGCTGTCATCTCGGACGCCTACACAGCCAAGTGCGGCCCGAAGTTAGTGTTGGCAGCGACAAACTTTTGGACGCGAATGAAGCCGGCACGAAGAAGGAAGCAAGTTTTTTTTTATACGCGCTCTGTCCCGATCAGCTGATGGCCTGAATTCGGAGGCAGCCGGGCCAACCCCTCTCGGCCTCGGCCACAGACAAGAGGATCGAGAGAGACAGACGGACGGAGGGGACCACCCGCCCGCCCGCCCGTCCTCGGCTCGTGCCGTCTCTCTCGCACCCGTGCAGACTGACGTATCAATGGGATTACCTACGCGGGACGACGCTTGCCAGAAGGATACACATTAAAAACAGCGATGCAGTCGCGACGCGCTCATTTCGAAATGAGAAAAATAAGGTTTCAATACAAATTACTAATAATCTTTTGGGTTCTTAGCAAACTGCACTAGACAAGCATACACGTGCACGCATACATACTCCCTTTGATATTTTACAATTACAAACTTTGGATTAAAAGGACAAGGCTATCTCCACTTCTCCCCCTGGTGTCACGCTCATTGGCGCCTCCCGAGATGTATAAAAATGGTCGGCTGAGTTATGTTCGGCCCATTACACCTTGTGCTGTTGTCGGGGACGGCAGCCGCACCGGAAAAGCCAACATTGCCGACGCACACAAAAAAAATGTAGAAAGAGAAAGAAGGGGAAGGAGAGAGGGGGGCGGGGGCGCTTGGGCCGCAAAAGCATACGAACTCAACCGATGTACAGCCCAGTAGGGACTTCTAGACTCCAGCGGAATTCAACACGAGTAAGCTATAGTCATGCCCCAAATTCCCTAAATAAGTTATTTTCTAAATTTTTAGCGAGAAAGAAATTTAAAATTATAACATTTTTCAGCAGGTTTTCATTCTCGGACTGTCAGTCCCACAGAGACCCCGTGATTCTCTGGCCGCAATGCGCCGCAGGCCAGGCGAGCCACCTCCGCAACCGCAGCAGCGGCGAGCAGCGGCGGAATGGTTTTCGGATCACCCGGTGGCGGCGGGGCCGGGCCGGCCATCGCTCCGACAGTACAGCGCGCCCGTCACGCGCTCTGTCGGCGGCGCGTGGAGGCTCCGCAGCGCGGGCGGGACCGAGCCAACAACAACAACAAGACTAGTAACAAGACGGTGGTGCCTCACACCTCATTGTGTGAGTACCTGCCGGTCGGCCCAATAACCCGATCGTTAAAAGACCCGACAATCGCCCAGAAAAAGCGATAATTATCGCGATAATAGTAGCGATAGCAACTATCGTGATTCATTAACGATCGCGTCCAGCGGGGTTACGTTCCGTTACTGTCCCGTCTGGGTGGTCCTCCAGCTCCAGCCCCGCAGAGCCTCCGCGGCCAGATGTTATTGGTCGATCGAAATCGATCTCTCGACGCGACGGTCCCAACGGCGCGCAAATATGAAATATGGTAATAATAATAATACCGCGAGCGAGGATCCGTTTCGCTATCACGTAATTACGAGCGCAGCTCATCAAGATGGCCTGTCGCTCAAGTGCAGAGGCACCCCCCCCCCCTTTCCCGCGCGAGGGAGTATCGGCCGGTATCGTTTCCCTTCAAGCAGCATAGCGTTATCGCCTGCTTCTCTCTCTCTCTCTCGCACGCGAGCGCGAGGCGCCGTGGGTGCGAGTGAGAGGGCGAGCGAGCGCGACGCGACCCCTGCGGCGGCCGGCCGGCGGCGGGGCCGTACGGAGCGGGGGGCACGAGGCGGCCCCGCCGCACCCCGCCACGCCCCGCCACGCCCCGCCACGCCCGCCCGCACGATGACAGCCGGCTGAGATTTATGCTTCTGCCGCGAGAAATGACATGGCCCCCTCGGTTGGGCCCCAAGACCGCCCTCTCCCCCTTCTCCGCCCACTCCCCTCCTCCCCCTCCACTCTGGTGTTCCCTAGCGCGCGGAGCGCATCCCCCACGCAACCCGCGACTACGACTACTCAAACACGCGCGCCAAAAATTGTCAAGACAAGTATAGTGCGACCTCCTCCCCGACGACGACGACGACGACGTCGTCCGAGACACACAAGTGGCGCAGCACCTCGGCGGCGACGGCAACTGCCAGCGCGCGGCGCAGGTAGGGAGGTGGAGGGTGGGGGGTGCGGCAATCACGGAGGAGCACAAGGGCCACCTGGGCGTGGCGCGGGCCGGCGCGGACACGGGGGCTAGTGCTGTGCACATCGCGCCGCTGCGACACCTCTGAGGAGGAGGTGGCGGTGGGTGGCGTCGCGACCCTCCCACGCCACCCCCCGCCATTGAATGGCGCTGCTGCTCGCGCGTCACTGAGTGACCAACAATGGGCATGCGGACAGGCGGATCGTAAACAACAATCAGGTAAGACCCGTGGGAGGCGGGCAGACAGACGGACAGACAGACAGACACGGTGGTGGTGCAAATGACCCAGTGCGGGCGCGTGCCGGGGCAGCACAAGGAGGGCACTCACCTGCTATGGCCATCCAGGGGTAGAAGGTGTGGTTGGCGGACTGCTGGTGCACGGCGACGGCGGGCTGGGCGGCCGTCGAGTTGAGCGAGCAGGTGTTCCACGAGCCGCCCAGGGAGGTGGCCGACGACGTCCTGGCGGTGGCGGATCCGGGCGAGGTGGAGGGGTCGCCGCCGACGAGGCCGACCGAGCCGCCGTAGCCGACGCGCGAGTCGGGCGTGCAGGCGGACGGTCTGACGAGGCTGTTGGCGCCGGCCGAGTTGGCCGAGTTGGCGGACTGCCACACGTCCTTGGCGGCGGCGGCGACCACGGCGGCGTACCTGCGCAGCACAAGGAGGAGGCCGTCAGCGGTGTCCGAGACCCTAACCTCTCGCGTGCGCTCTACGGGCGGGCGGCGCGGGGCCCGGAGCGTCTGCTACTGAGTTGTGTTCCGGCGCGAGGTGCCGAGCCGGTGCGGCGCGGGCGGTGTCGTCTGCTGCTGTCAAAACATGATCAGGTGACCGACAGCGCCTCAGCCGGCCGGGGCTCGCCAGTGGCGTGAGAACGCTGGACCCGGGCGGGCGGCCGGCGGCGGGCGGCGTTACGTTTGTTTGTTCGGCGCGCAGCAGACGACAACTCGTTCGATTTGCACTAGTGTGCGTGTGCGTGCGTGTGCGTGCGTGTGTCTCTCTGTGTCTTCGTGTCTGTCTCTCTCTCTCTGTGTCTCTTTGTGTGTCTCACTCCCTGTCTCTCTCACTCTTCGCCAAAGTGAGTAGTTGTTCGACGCGCAAGCAGACCGACAACGACAAGAAGACGCGAGCCCTCGTTCAAGTTGAAGGTGAACGCTACATGACGAGCAAGACACCGGACAGCCCATGTAAGTCTGTCTCCCTCACACGAGCCCAAAGGGCGTCCTTTCCCCTTGTGTGTAGTAGCGAAGAACAAAAACCGGAAGTCAGTCATATGGGGGGGGGGGGGCTGAGAAAATCGTATGACGAGCTGGATTTTCGTCCTTTCGATCGAGAGCGGCTCTGTGCCCTGTGTCCTGATGTGACAGGTTGTTCATGCCCGATTTGTTGTAGCCGTTTCTTTACGTCCGGTCTAGTTCTCCCCCCTCCCCCCTCCGCCACCCTCGCCGCCGACGAGTTGCCCGTCCCTGCCCCCTACTCGAGCCTAGCTGCGCGAAGTCAGTCAGTCGCCTGCAGCTCGGCGACGACGTCCTGTTCACCCTCGTCCTGGCCGTGTTGCTCATGCTCCCCTACCCGCCCGACCCGGGCCGGCGCGGGCGGCGCGGCGTGCGCATCAGCTGATTCTGGGTGTGCTTCGCCGGCCCGCCGCCGGGGGGCGCTGCGGGCAGCGGGCGCTGCTCTTCTCTCTCCCACTTTGCGCTTCTCTCTCTTTCTCTCGCCTCGTTCGCTCCCACTCCAGACGCCCCAGGAAGGGCATTCAGAGCCGCTCGACAGACTTTATTCAGTGGCGTTGAACCAAAAGAACGGCGGCGCGGGATGGACTTTTGGACGAAAGCGATAAGAATGGACACGTGTCCATGTTTTCCTTCGCTCCGCCACCCTGATTGATCTACTCTCTCAATACAAAATTTTAATAGTTTCAAATTAGTTTTTCTATTGCCGCTAAAATTTCTCATTTCATCTCTTATAAAGGGGTGAACAGAAGGTGTAGTGTGAAATCTGGCGAAAAATATTTAAAGGTGGGAAAAGCCCACTATAAGAAACTGTCACGTCGTTTATCATTTTTGCCTCTTGTAAGAGGCAAATTTCTCAGACAGGCATTTATTTTTGACTTCTGATTTTGTCCTTCTCCATTCGTCCGACGGGCCTTTTTGATGTACCCCTATTCCGATGCTCACTTCGGAGAGAGAGATACAAGTTTAGAGCAATTAGAGCCAACAACGGCTTCTCAGCTTACAGAATCCTAACCCGGCACCCCTTCTCCGACACGCGCTGCCGCTCAGTCCCACGGTGGTGGTTCAAGGTGGGAGGGTTGGAGGAGGGGGCAAGTACCGAGGTAAGTGAAACAGGAGAGGGGGAGGGAAGAGTTCTCCTGGTCAATATCTAATGATGATGGTAATAATAATAATAGTAATATAAGGGGAGGTTAATAATAAAGCAGTACATCACGACCACACCCTAAGCGCCCCGGGATGGCGCAAACATTTGTTCGCCACCGGTCCACTCCCTTTATGAGCTCAAGTGGCCCACAATAGCCAGCCTCGCCGACACCTTTTTTCTCTCCCGGCTGAGCTTCCTTTCCTTCTCGGGGAGGGTGTGACCGATCACTTACGATGCGGCTGGCCGCGCATTATGCTTCTCGTCGGCTACTCTCTCCGTCTCTCTCATTTGGCGACGCTGCGGCGGGAGCGCGGCGGGGGTGCGAGAGAGAAGGTGGCGGCGAACGCAACAGCGTCCTGTGAATAACCCTTTCGTCTGCTCATAACGCGGTTCTCTGCGCACTTATCGCCTCTACTTTGTCTATCTGTTGTGTCGAGTAATCGGCGACATGGGCGCTGGTGACAAGATCATAAATCTGACGCCCTGCTGGTAATTGTTTACCAGTCATTACGCGAGCTCATATGCATTCTTCGGTCTTATCACTAAAGTGCAGAGCTGTTCGTAACGATATCGCCCGTCAATTTGTTTCCGCGGGACTCGCGCCTTGACCTCTAAAGTGCTTCGACGGCGAGCAATTTTTTAATCTGTATCTTTTGTGCGCCCTGCTCCTATACAAATGGCAGTTTATTTCACTTAGAAATACGACCAAAGCCAGATAAGACAAAACTTGTCGCTGGCCTGAGGTTCGTGACGTAGACGCACCAGCGTCTTTAAATTTATAATTAGTTAAAAAAGACATTAATAGATGCAATATTTTCTATCACGACTTCTTCTGGCAATTTTGTAAATGTAAAGGCATAAGTGGTTTGACCCACAGTACGCTTACAAAAATAGTGTGTCCTGAAACAGTGTGCAGAATGGATAACGGACGTCAGTCAACCAGGACCGCGTCGACTGACATCCGCGAAAACGAGGGCGTTAACGCTACCCGATCCTACCCCCATCACCACGTGAACCTACCCATTCTGGTGCTGCTGATCGCCGAGGCCAGATTTGACGCAATCCGTTTTGGCCGAGGCGCCCGTCGAGTAGTTGACGGAGGCCTGCTGTGACGAGTCTGAGCCCGACGAGTACAGCTTGCAGGCCGCGGCCACGCTCGCGTCGTACGGCGAGTCCTGTGGCGGCCGCGCCTGGTGCAGGTGGTGGTGGTGGTGCTGCGAGGAGGCGTACGGCGACATCCCCAGGCTCAGCGGGAACCTGTAGGCGGCCGCGGCCTGGTCGTGGTGGTGCGCGCCGGCGCCCGCCGACGCCTGGTGATGGTGGCTCCCGTAGAAACCACTCTGCTCGAAGTACGAGTTCATGGTGGCCGCGATGGTGGCGACTTGTTGGGGACTGGACGAGTCGAAGATCTGTCCGAGTCCGGACGTCGGCGCCGTGCCGAGGAGCACGGGGGCGGCGGTGATGGTGGCGGTGATGTGTGCTTAGGCCCGGCCTGCGCGCGGGACCCGGTGCACGAGGACGCCGACGACGAGAAGTAGGACGACGGGGATGTGGGCGGCTGGGTGTGCGTTGGCGCGATCAGGAGCCCTCAGAGGACCTCATGGCGACGGGACCTCATGGCGAGTGATGACAGCTGTCACACTGACTGACAACACACACTTTCACAACAATCGCACACAAACAGACGACGCACTATTGCTTTTCGCACTTCAGAATCACCACGGAGCACCACTGCGATGAACCACTTTAGCACTGATCACTGACAACACCAACAACCCTTTACTCTCCTTTCCCTCTTGTCGCGAAAAAATGACAAAAAACAATCACTTTGCTTAGCACTTCCTGGCGCGTGCCCGTGAAATCGGAGGCACTCACAAAACGATAAAACCGTGCAGCGCACTAAACGAGGCAATCCAACGGCCGTAAAGGCGCCGTAAAAGTCGCCGTAAAAAGCGGAGAGGTGTCAGTCACACCCGCACACTGTTGATTCACAAAACCACACGCAAACGGACCGCAGGCACTGTGACGAAGTGTGACGTAGCACAGAGTATCCACGGCGAGGTTGACAGGTCAACGAAACTTTTTTTTAATTTCCACGTAATAGACACGCGCGGGCTTTTTGACAGCTCGGGGGCGGGTTGACAGCGGGGTGACACTCGCGCCACGGGGCCGACGGGGCGGGTGACGATTCCCTGGACGGCACTCGAACTGAGATTTCAGCGACTGACAGTGAGGGAGAGAGGGTTGAACGGCGACGCCCTCGACGATGACGTCTCGACGCTCGTAACGGGGTACGCGGCGCGCGGCTCGCTCGGCTCGGCGTCGATGCGCGTCGTGGGGCGACCGTAACCGTAATGCAGACGGCCCAGCCCGGCTCAGCCGCGGCCCCGGGTCCCTCCGCTCCGCGCCGCTCGCACGCGCCGGCCAAGCCTTCTCTCTCGCGTGCTCCCTCCCTCTCGCTCTCTCTCTCTCCCTCTCGCTGCCGTCTCTCTCGCCGCCGTCGGGGCGTCTCTCTCGCTCTCGCGCTCTCCCTCTCTGCCTCTCTTCGTCCTCCCTGCCCCTACACATTCTATTACATTTTTCCTCCCGAACCAAAAATCTCGCTCCGTCCTCGTCTGGCGCACGGCTCAGGGCGGCTCGGCCCCCACCCTTCTCGCTCGCACCCTGTCGCCGTCCCACTCGCGCTCGAGCGCCGTCTCTCTCGCACTCGCGCTGAGCGGGGCGCACCCGATCGCCGGCGAACCCCCGTGCGGGTGCGACGAGGACGGCGCTTGCCGGCGCCGCGGCGGCGCGAGAGAGAGCGAGCGTGTGTTTAGATGAATAACGCCTACACAGAACGACGCGGCAAAGCGCAGACGGCGATTACAGGACAGAGATAGAAACTGGCTCGGTGGAGGGGGGCGCCGCGCGAGAGAGAGCGACGCCGCAGCGCGCCGGCGGGGCGAGAGAGCGCGAGCGAGGCGCGGCGAGGAGAGGGGAGCGGCGGCGGCCGGCCAAATGAACCAATCAGAATCAGATTCGTCACGGAGGCCGTGAACAGCCCATTCCGCTCTCTCTCGCACCGCCGGCATCGTGCGAGAGAGAGGCACCGCCAAGAAAGTAGTCCCTCGCCTCCCCTCCTTCGGCGCTGCAGCCGTCCTTGTCGCACTCACGGCCTGGCACGGGGGCAGGTTCGCGCGTCCGCCGCCTAGAGCGCGCTCCGGCCCGGCGGCCCGGCGCGACGGCTAGGGCTTCCCCCCACCGCTGCGCCGGAGCTCTGGAAGAGCCGCCGAGGCCGGCCGGAGCCGCAGCAGCCAGCAGCGGCAGCCAGCAGCGGCCAGGGGCAGCCGAAGAGAACCCGTGGCGGCCCCTGGCGGCCGGCGGCCCAACGCTGCCCGGCTTGTGCGGCTGATGCGGCTCGGCTGGGCGGCGGCCGGCGGGACGCCAAGGGGCGCGTAAGACGGCCATCAGGAGCTCGTGAAGGAGCCTGTTGTTTACCGCGCATAATAGAGCCGTTTTCGCTCTCACTTTTTGGCCGATGCCTTTTGTGGGCGCGGTGGGCACGCGCCGCGGGGCGGCCGGCGACATGACCGCGTGATAACACGCTTTAATTGGCTGAGGGGGCGGGGGGTTTACTCCCCCCTCTACGGCCAGGTTTACTGTTAATGATTATTCGAACCGAAGCTATTAAAAAGAGGCTGCAGTGCCTGCTTAGTTGCTTTTAGTCATAGATACAATTTAGTATTTATCATTACAACATTGCAGCATGCTGCCCAGCTATTGGCTTGTAAATTAAAAGGCGCGGAGCACTGTTTTTGATCCAACTGCGAAATTCACATTAGCTTTAAATTGACTTTAATTTCCACGGTAGTTTGATTTCCGACGTAGTTCTAAGGTAATCTGCTGAAATACTTTGGTATTCTTCCTTTCTTTCTCCTATGCGGTGTGTGTGTTTTGTTCGTGTGTGTGTGTGTGTGTGTGCGCGCGCGTGAGAGTGTGTGTGAGGAGAGATGGAGGGGAATGGTTGGGAATATGGAGACGTCATCCAGATGGGGACAAAGAGGTCAGGTACGCGCCACAGTGCACTCCCTTCTGTGCTCCCCGTCCCTCGCGGTTTGATCTGATTGAGACAGAACCGAGCCATTTTGGGTGTCAGAGGTCACTCGCTAAGCCAGGGGATTCCTTACCTTTGCCGTATTCATGGATGAATCGCGAGGTCCAGCAGTATAGCAAACGGTCCGTTTGAATACAGATGCGGTGCTGAGATCTGTTAGAGCCGTTAGACTCGGCTCGGCAGGTTCAGCAGGTACATTTACAGTTGAAAAAAATTCGTTTTCATCAAGGACCGCAACTGTCTCGATGTATATGTATTCTGAACGCTGCAGCCCGTAAACAAACCATGCAAAACGCTCCTTGAAACAAACACGACTGTATGCTAAACGGGCCCGGCGCGCGCGCACTCACACATGCACACACGGGCGCACGTATCCTCACACACACGTACAACACAGGTGGAGAGCTTGAGAAAGACTGTCTGCGTTTTTATAGCGTGTCGGAGCTTAGTTTTATAGCCTATTTCTCTCGCTCTACAAAGAGGGACAAGGCACCGGGCACCGCACCTCACAGGTGGCAGGCCAGTGGCAGGCTAGTGGCAGGCCGACAGAGGGCCTCGCAGCACCCGTGTTCCAGATGGGGTGGGCGGTGCGAGGGGAGGGGGGATGAACTTCGAGAAGATGTCGAAAGTCTTGCCTCTCATAAGAATGATTTGCTGTGTTTTGATTATTACAATTTCAATCATTAATATCACTTTTTGTTTGAAATTATAATCTATAATAATGAATTGCGTCAATAATATTAAAAATACAAAAATCTGTTTATGATCCAGGAAAAACATTGATATACGTTTATATTTTTTTTTATCGTATTTGATTTTACGTAGAAGTCGCATGTTTTTGTACAAAAACGTCTTGCGTATCTCAAATTCTTTCATTCTGACTTACCGCGAGAGAAGTGCCAAAGGGCCGGCCGTCTGCCACTGAATCTGAAAAACAATATGAAAACAGAATCGTGAGATGTATTTCAGAGAAAGGCTGAACAGTGGCATTCCATGCTCCACGGGCCCGTTCCGTGGCTCCCTGGGGCTCGCTCCGGTCCGGCGCTACTCTGGCGGACAGAGCGTTCGCTCGAGCTCACCGCTGCCATCTAGCGGTGGGTGGCTGAACCCGGTCCGGGCCTCGGCTCCGGTAGCGCGCGGTTTTTCAAACAGCTGTCTGAGTTGCACTTGCAGTGAACTTCGTATTGTGACGTTTGAAACAGCAAGTGTGTAATTCAAACTTTGAATGGCATGCAAATTTAATTACATGCACATCACTGGACTGGCCACTAAAACTATCTGTAGGTCGGCGTAAAACAAAAAGCCCGTGTCCTAAGATAATTAAGTCATATCTTTTTTTAATATTTCGCTTTTCCTTTTGTTGAAGAAGTTAGGACAACAGGGGAAGAAGATAGCTTCTGGGATGATGAAGGGGTCTCAAGGTATCCCTATGACTCGCACGGATTGCAGAGGTCGAGGTGTGGAGAAAGGGTTTACCCAAGCTTGCAATGTGGTGCAGCAGGGTGCCTGTGCAGTGACAGCGCTGAGTCGCCCAGGGCTTCTTGCTGCAAACAAAAGACTGCAGCAGCCTGCCATCCACACCTGAGGATGCCGTCTGACTATCCGTCTGCCGTGGGAAACACACTGGGCGTAAGTACGCCCTAACGACTATTTAGCTCAATTATTTCTTGCTCGTACTGCACCACTGCGGCAGTACGTAATAATAATAATAAGTAATAATAATTTCCACTCCCGGAGCGCCGTGCTGGGAACAGGCGGGCAGTGGCAGGGGCCGTTTTATCGTGCATTTCCATGTGAGTTTGGCCCGAAATACTAAGTTTTCGTAGAAGTCGCTGGCCCGCGTGAGCTTTGCCGTCGAGGCCGCAGCCATGTTTCCGCGTCCGGGTGAACCAGCTGCGGTCCCAAGCGGGAAAGGTAGAAGGAGGGAGCTATGTCGAGGATCGAGGCGAGCGATTCGCCAACCTATGCGAAATAATATAAAAGGTTTGCCGTATCGTGACCTTGGTCCTTCAGGGAAATGTGCGCGCTAAAAGACGCTGCCGCCTTCAGGTCGTCTGAGGTAGCTATGGACACACGGCCAAGACTGACGACATTAGATAACACGAGTCTGTGCTTCAGCTCCATTCGAAAGTGTTCAGCTATACGTTTTTTTTCTGTCGAGATAGTCAACGGCAAGCACGAGAGCCAGAGTATGACTAACTTGTCAATTTTTTTATTTTATTTTCCAGACCCTTATGTTTCTAATGTACGCACAAGACAGTAGACGATTGGGAATGGCTCGGGATTAACGGAGAGAGAAATAAGAATAATGCAGCTTTTTGCAGAGTACGCGAGCAACGTACAGGTCAACGTCTGCTTGAAGGGGAATAAATAATTTATAAGAAAAGGCTTTCGCGAGGAGGAAAGGTAAGAGCAGCTCGATTGCTCACACGAGACACACACACAGAGCAAAGAGACTTTTTCTTCTCTCGTCCTTTTTGACTTACGGCTCCGAGAAGGCACGCATGAGCCTATTGGATGCCTATAAAGGATGTCGGTCCCACAAATAAGAAATAAACATAAAATAAGAGGACAGCGGTAGGGGAGAGAGAGGGAGGGGGGGGGGGGCGCCCAGCCAGGTAGGTAGGCCCCACGAGGACCCCCCCAGCCGAGCGTGCGCGCGAGCGAGAGGGAGCGAGGAGACAGAAGGGGGAAGGAAAGGGGAGCTGGGGGGAGCAGGATACCGGTTTCTCGAGTCTCCATGTTGGAGCACACACTCTCCATCACAGTGAGCGTCTCCCTCCACACACACACGACCAAGAGGAACGACGGCCCCCTTTCCCGGGGCCGGTCCTCGATATCCCCGAGTCCCCTTCCTCGCCTCGGAAAAATAAAATCGCAAATTTACGATAAATGTTCAAAGTACAAGATCAAATATTTGAATGTATTGTGAGTAATTTTATAAACAATAATGTTTGTGGAAAATGCACGTACAGTGATGCGAGGGGGCTAGAACTCCAGGAATCATGTGTACACCTGCCTGGGAATCATCAGGATCATAAAAACTAATCGAAATCAACAGAAATCGCTGAGATTAAGCTGGAAACTAGTGGAACTGGTACAAATTAGTCGAAATAGCTGATTTCTACAATTAGAAAACCCAAGGGATAAATATAGGTGGACGTGAATCACTGGGAATCAATTATTTCGTGAATCTTGTGTACACATCGAAAGGGAGCTATTGCCCATTAGCATTTGTAAGTTGCCTTCAAGTTACAAAATTTCCTTTGTAGCAGGAGCTGTTT